TACTTTGAATAGTGGACATGTAATGCATCTATATGTAACACTTAGGTTGGTATAAGTGTTAAAAAAAAAAAAAAACAAAAACAATTAAGTTGGTACATATTATTTTGGAATGTGGGAGCAGACTCATTATAGAAATTATAAAATGAAGTTGAAATTCTGTTCAAGTTAGAGAATAAAAATTTGATTATAAATATCTACAATAAATCTCAATCTCTCATTTTTTTTTTACACGAAAATATATAAATAACATATCTTAATAATTGTTGATGAGTTGAATTATCAATTATATTAATATGAAATTTTTATCTTGATATTATTAATAATTGGATGAATTTGATGGGATTTTATTTGATTTTATATAATTTTCATTCATCTTTATGTAGAAAAGGATTTACTTTGAAGAAATCAAAACTTTTAGGACAAAACCAAAGAAGTCAGAATTGTGAGGATCAGTGTCAAATTAATGAAAAATGAAGGACCAAAACCGTTTTACCAAGGAAAAACCAAAATTGGTTAAAAGGCCGAGACCCCGGCACGTTGCTTTCCTTACGAATTATTAATAGCTGTCGACACCTTATTCTAGGTGCCGATTCTTCGTCAGTCTTGCGCTCTTGTGCACCCGAAATTCTATTTTCTTTAGTGTGTATCTCACTTGTTTTCCTGTTACAATTTCTTTAAAACTTATAAATACACGAAAAAAATTGGGAGGCTTTTGGAGAAGGCCCTTGGCCGCCTTTAATTTTTGAGCACTTTTTGAAACTAAATGAGTAACAAGAATTTATGAACAAGAAAATCAACATCATTAGATTGAGTTTTGTTTTTTTTTTTTTAATTAATTTTAATTTCTTTATTTTGTTTTGAATTATTGGTTCATCTTGATTATCTTAGATTTAATTATTTTTAATATGAATGATAAGCTAAATTTATATAAATAATAATATGAAATTTTTATCTTGATATTATTGATATTGAAATGAATTTTATGAGATTTTACATAATTTTTATTTTTTTGTATAAGAAAGGATTTAATTTAAAAAAATCATAATTTTTAAAAGTAAATTACAAAGATAAAAAACATGATAATTAACTTGTCCAAAATCCAAAAGTTAAGGACCAGAATTGCCATTTAACCATTAACAGAAATTGCTAGGAAGGCGAAATACCCGACACGGTGATGGTATTGTGCGCTGAACAGAAGGTGTTAGCACCCTATTGAAGGTGTTGAGTCCTTACATGATTTTCACAAAATTCATGTTTAATTTATTGTTTTGAGTGTAGATCCCATTTGTATTCAAATTAAGATTTTTAAAGTCCTATAAATATCCATCCAAATTTAGAATGGGGAAAGTGGGTGAAGGTTGGTAGCAACCTTTTTTAAGTATTTTTAGAGATCAAGATTAATGATTTATCAATAATAAAATATCAAAGAGTTTGATTTCCAGATATTAAGTTTTATTCTTCCTTAAATACTCTTACATCCATAATTATGATTTAGATTTTATTATTTTTATTATGAACTAATTTATTTTATTAAAGCTACAATGTAACCTAATCAATTCAACATAAATTTTGTAATTTTATATTTTCAATTAAAGTTATTCGTATGATTAGTTTATATTATTGAATTTAATGTATTGCTAGCTTGATCATCTCTCAATTGATTTAGTGATTTATGTATAAATTTGAGAAAGAATTACATAAATTAGATCAATAATAATATAAATCATATGTTAGATTATGAGACTAAGAAATGATCAGCTCACATGTGGTAGTAGCGGAAGAAAAGAGAGTTAGGAGAGCTCTCCTTCTTAAGTTAGAAATTTTTATAAAATTTAATACTCATTAGTTTGTTTAAAATTACATAGAAATATAATTAATTTAATAAACAAGTGAAAGATTAATTTGACTTGAGAAAACTAGTTAGCTAATTTGGGAAAATCCGCCATCACATGCAATAACATTCAACAAATTGATTTTAGAAATATATTAATTAAGAATTTATATTGATTGATTATGATGAAATCGAAAACTTAATACCTCGTATCTTGATTAACTTTATTTTAATTGTTATTTTTTTTTTATTAAAGTTCATTTTCTTTCAATTGTTTAAATAAATTTAGATTAATTATTTTTGGTATTTAATTAATCACGATTCTTGTGGATTCGACACTCTTCTCATTATTATATTACTTGAAGCAACTAAGATACTTGTTAGGGTAATTTTGGTGCAACAATGAACTAATTTATTTGATTAGGATATTGATGCAACCTCATTAATTTAATATAAATTTAAGGTTTTTATATTTTTAATTAAAGTTATTAGCAAAATAAAATTTTAT